TTTGTATTGCAGATGATGAAAGTTGAAAAGAAATCAATTTTTGTAAGAGAGTATAATGATCAACTGTGTTAAACGCTTTATGAAAATCAATATATACAGCACCAGTTACTTGACCTTTGTTCAAAGCAGCACGTATTTGTTCAGTGAATAAAATTAATGCAGACATGGTTGACCTTGACGTGTGGAAACCATGTTGGCTATTGCTTAGCACATTATTAGCTTCTAGATGCTGAAGTAGTTGATTAAATAATGTTTTTTTCAAGTAACTTAGAAAAAATAGGAAGAACAGAAATTGGCCGATAGTTTGAAACTTCTGTTGGATCACCAGATTTAAAAATGGGAGTAATCTGAGCAAACTTCCAGGCATCAGGGAAAATAGACTGCACAATACATAAATTAAGCAAATGATGAAACAATGGTAAAAAAGTGTTGGCATGCATTTTCAAGAAATCCATATCTATCTTATATTTGTCAAATGCATGTGAGCCATTTAGAGARTGGAGTGTATTCAAAACATCACTCTGTGAAATTTCAGAAAATGAAAATTGCTTTGAAGTGTCAGGARATTTAAATAACTTTAAACTATTAGCTTGTCCAGGTAATGATGTCCTTACTGAAGAAATAAAATATTCATTAAATAAGTTAGCAATTTTTTCATGATCAGAAACAGGAAGTCCATTTACTGAGATTTGTGAATTGTTATTAAATGTTTTATTGTTACTTTCACCTGTCACTGACTTAATCGTTTCCCATAATATTTTTGGATTCTTACGGGCTGAAATAATTAGATTTTTAAAATATTGTTGTTTGGCTTTGCGTAATTCAGCAACACATTTATTTCGGTAACTGTTTAAACGAGACCGATTTTCAGAAGTTTTTGATATTCTATAAGTTTTCATTGAAGAAGCTTTCAACTTTATGAGATGTATTATAGAGGCATTCAACCATGGAATTTTATTTTTCTGGACTGGAACTTTACAAGTTGAAATATATTTTTCCTGTATTGTCTCCAACTTATCATAAAAATTTGACAAAAAGCGATTTGGATTTGACAGAGAAATACCCTCATTCCAGTTAGTATTCTCAATCTCAGCATGAAACATGGGTAACTTTGATTTTGGAATTCTTTTAATGAAATTATGCACATGACCTGTAGGTTTCTCAATGACATAAATAAGTGAATGATCCGAGATTGAAGTATTTATAACTCCAGATATGCCATAAATGGAGGATCGATTTGTGAAAATAAGATCCAAAATGGAATTGCATGTCTTGCCAAATCTTGTTGGTACTTTAATTAACTGTTGAAGCCCTAAGTTTATAGACATTGCTTTCAGGCCTTTGGAAGTTTTATCAGCCCAATTCATATTGATATCACCAAGAATCACAAACTCTTTTGATTTTCGTCCTGATGCATCTCAGTAATCCAGGTAAAAAATCAAAAGGAAAAAAAATTGTATAGGTCTTCTGGACGGGTTCTTCTTTAATGAAACGTTTCGTCTCTCTTCCAAGAGACTTCTTCAGTCTGAGAGTTTCAGGCAAATTCAGGCTTTTGAGTCCTGCCTCCAGGTGACTGATACTCACATCACATGATCACATCTTTTGATTTTATGCCTTTTATAATGTCAGTGAGCTGCACTAAATATTTAGTTGAATTAACACTTGGAGGTTTGTATGTAACAACAACCGTTACTGCCAATAAGTTCTGCATATACAATCATTTATTAATTTATATTAAGTTTTCTATCATAGCTACCCAAATGTAATAAAACTGCCATTTCAAAAATGTTTGTGAATACAAATATTTATTAAATCAACATGTAGAGCCATAACTTGACACGTAACAGTTGTTCTTTTGTTTAATAAATATGAATATAAAACATTTGAAGCAAACAAAAAAATAAACACTTACTATAGTAATAAGGTAAGGGTACTAGTTTGTTTTCTATTCATTCTTAAAATTTGAAGTTGTTTAAACAAGGTCAGACTAATTTTGCTTTTACAAATACATTGACTCACCTACGGGTCCAGACATTTGTACTCCAAGTGGCTGTAGTGCAATAATTTGGAGTCCTATTTCCCAAACAAGAAGTCAGTCATTTCCTGGAGCCAGCAGCTCACACCTCAGACTGCCACATCAAGGAGCAGCAACATACTTTACTCAGTGCCTGAAGTATAATCAAATTAAGCCAAACAATGGCAGGGTCAGATAGGTCAGAGCCAATGGCAATTCCACATGCCTAAACACAAAATCACTTTTTAATCTGCGGATATTATTTCTGTAATTTCCCAGTCACTTTGGTCATGTGGACCGGGTTACAATAGGCCTACTATTACAGTATCCACATATATGTCTTAGAAATACAGCGTGGGATTTTTGGTGGCTACATTATATGTATAAAGGCACAATACCAAGAAAAAAAATTAAAAATAAAGTTCAAGCAAACTGCTTGAGAAAGTATCTGCCTTTGAAGGCTTCTATTACTCCACTACATCAAACTTTGATTTCTGTAAAGTGCTTTCCTACAAATGCAAAAAATAAATAAATAAATAAATAAACAAACAAACAAATAAATAAATAAATAAATAAATAAAATTGGAAGAAAACATTCTAATATTTAAGAAATTTGGCATAATGCACTATATTTTGGGATAACAATGCTAGAAATCCAATTGTCACACAAGTACAGTATATTTCGAACCTTGCACAGCCACAGTGCAGCCAAAAGTGATGACAAAGTGGGAACAATGTAACGTATAGATTGTCAAATGATAACTGGGCTAATGAACAACGCAATGTTAAACAACTCCAATGACTGGAACGCAGAAGATTAGTTCTTTATGGAGCCTGATTAAAGRGAACAATGACCAGAAAACAGTGGAAATGAGGAAAAATTTAAAATATATTGATTTTAAAAGGAAAAGAAAAAAAAACATACCAAATCACTTCCCCACCAGGTAGTGAGGGCCAATCAGGAAAAGGCTTATCAATGACGTGATGTGTTATTTAGATAGTTTCTTTTTAATATTCTTTTAGTAATATGGGTTACAACAACCTGGCCATTTGCTTTTTGGTTTCATGTCTTTATACAAGAGAAAAACATGAAACCAAAAAGCAAATGGCCAAGTTGTTGTAAAATCCTCATTAATATGGTGAAATGATGTKTTTCTGGTGGCTGCAGCAACACTGCCTGACTGACTTTTCCTGCTCTTTTTTTTTCACGTTTTATTGTAAAACGTGAACGTGTTATTGTAACTTTATTTGACCAAGTTTTGTGTTTAACCATGAAAAATGGACTTCAGTTACCTTTTTACAGCTAATGTGCATGTGTAAAATTGGGCACCACATCCTCAAATACAGCTAGAAGCTTTTTATTGACTTTTATTATAAGGTAGTTTTATTGGTATTTTACATCGTGATAGCCAAACCWCCTCAACAACATGCAGTGTTGTTCAATGTTGAAATGACTGCAGAGCTTAGCTGAAACAGACATGAACTGTGTTTATTGACTTGGTATGTTCTAACAAACCAGAAGTAGGCATGAATAAATGTAGACTATAATGCACTGCAAAATACTGATTTTGACCATGTGCATTAATAACTGTAAAAAAATAAACTCAGTAGAAATCTGTTTTAGTTTTTTTTATTAATTCTTTTTGGATTTGCCTTGTCCTAGATGACTCTATAAAGGTTGTATTCTTGAAGTTCATTTTGATAAGCATACTTGAGAATAATTTAAGTATATCTTTGTAAGTAAACTATGCACCACGTACTTGTAGCGTACTAGAAAGTATACTGATTTTATACTTATTTGGACTAAATTGGATGTTTTTTGTTTATATAAAGTATACTTTAAGTGTACTAAGGCATTTTTAAATCTACCAAATTATACATTCAAGTACAGTCATCTATGTACTACTAGTATACTTGTACACATTTTTAGTTTGTTGAAATATATTTAAAGTGTACCACAAGTATACTTATCTGTATGCAGCCATTGAACTAGTTATATACATCTAGTCCACATTTAAACAAACATTTACATCTGTCATCTGCTTTTTGTTCGTGTGCCAAATACTGTGTTTTAGTTGAGGTCCATCCTTGCTAAATCAGGCAGGCCTGTAAAGATTTACAGATAAAATGAAAGTACAGATTACTTTCATACATGAGGTTAAAAAYCTAAAACTGTTAATGCTGTCTGGCCTGGCCTGACATGATTAAAACAAAATGTGTTCTTGCTGAAACAGATAATGCTGTGTACATAACACCATTGCCAAACTTTTATAAAAGGGACTTGAATATCAATAAATTCAAGTCAAATGTTTCCCCATTTCTGTGTATGTTTATAAAGACAATGCAATGAAGCACAATTACTATTTTCTGTAAACCTTTAAACTCCAGCACCATGTGATTTTGAACATACAAGTTCATATAATGCCTCAAAGCAAATGTGTGTTGTGAAAAAAACTTATTCTGCCACATTAGATGTAGTCAATGATATCACCTTATTCTGTTCTTAGATCAAGATAATTAAAAAAATTTCAGCACTTTGTGGCAGAAATAAGTAGTGGGTAGCCTATACCAAAGTACAAGTATAAGCTTATTAAGTATAAGTTTAAGTCACTATACTATTCTTAAGTATATCAAATATAGTTTATAAAAGTAAACTTCAAATACATAGCCTCATTTTTAGTGTATACTAGTAGAACACTTAAAGAAACTAATTTTTGCTAAGACATACATCAGAATAGGTTTTGTGTTTGTGATGTAATTGTAAATTTGAACGTGTTAAATAACTAATTATATAACACGGGACATGTGGAGTGGTAAAAACACAATTTAAAACAAATGAATGACACATTTCATACAGTTCTTCTGTTGACAAACAACAAATACATTCTCTCCTTCAATTGGTCGGACATTTTGACGTCCACCAATCAGCGCAAAGAAAACTGCGACGCGTCAGTCACAACGTCACATCCGATTTGCACTGCGGCGCGCGGTTTATATCTCAAACGTAAACTCTCTACTATTTTTACTTTTTAAAACATGGCATCGTTGGGACACCCTCACTTATAGGGATATCATCTTATTTTATGTCCGTGGATAAAAGCTTTTGGTTTTGTATTTAAGGTAAGAGGCTACATATCTTATAAATATCAGCTAAGTTATGCTAATATAAACACACAAGTAAGCTAACGACGTCTACCTAGGTTTCTTTAAGGTTGTCGAAGCTGTACCCGATTTGTAACACAAGAAAAAAAAAAAAAGCTCTGTAAATCCGCAGTGAATCATTTTCGGTGATTCACTCACAGTTTCCCAACTTTTCCTTCCCCTCAGCAGCAGCGCTGACGGTCAGCGGTGTCTGTTCATCATGTCCCAGACCAACACCTCTCTCCTGGACGAGGTGGTCCGGTGGAGTCAGGAAACCTGTCGCCAGGAGCTCAAGTCCGTCCTGCCAAAACTCACCATATCCTCTCCAATGTAAATGTCCTCATGCCAGTTTTATATTAGCTAATTTGATGGATCACAGACCAGTTTTATGTAACATACTGTCAACTTTTGATGATGTCTAAATCAAAGGTAATGCAAAAATAATTATGTCTAAACAGCAATATTATTTGGGAGTCTTATATAGTTAAAGTCGTTTAGTAAAAAAAAGGAATGTGTTATTTTCCTTGACRGCTTGTACGCTTTACATTTTGAGTCACACAGCTGGGATGATAATATACGTAAGTGTCTTGCTTGCTTCATATTTGTTTTTAAAAATTCTAGCATATGCTCCGTTTATGCTTAAAGATGTTTAACAATATAATATTAACAATCCCACAGGTATACTGAAGATCATTATAGACGTATTCCTCCCATATATTGGTTTGTCAGAGCTGGAAGATGAGTGCTTCTCCAAGATTTTCCCAAAGGTCAGAAATACACTTAAAAAAAACCTATTATCCAAACACTTTATGAACACGTGTTCAAAACAACAACATCATCCTTAATACTGTAGTTTTTGTTGAGATGACATGGAGCTATCCCAAGGTTGCATTATGTGAAACACAYTTTTCAGATGCTGTTACTGAATGCAAACTTACTAATTAAAATCTTAATAGTAAAAGATGTTTGTATAGCAATTTTCATAAAACCCAAGGAGTCTTTACAGAGGATATCAGATTAAATAAAATAAAATGACAGAAAAATAAACGCTCCAGTGGACAACAGTATTTTCTTCAGGACACGCTCACATATTCGTTAGGAGAGTTGGGCAGCAACTCAACCTCTAAACCATCCAAACATGAAGATGATCACTGAACCTCCTCACCTTTACTTTACATGTCACTTTATTTTGTTAATGATCACTTGCAAAACCAGCATAATCCATATATCTTAATATACAAAATTTGTAATATTTAAACAATGTGCAATAATGTCATTTTACCTTCCTCTACCTTAGTTTTACATTTTCAACTGACTCTCATTGTGCTATTTTTTTATTTCTTATTGTTGTGTAAATGTAGGTATATGCATATATACACTGCTCAAAAAAATAAAGGGAACACTTAAACAACGCACGCTAAGTCCAAGTGAATCAAACTTTTGTGAAGCACATTCAACTCTGTACAGAACAAAGTACTCAATGCAAATATTTCATTGATTAAGATCYGGAGTTAGTGTGCGTTGTGTAAGTGTTCCCTTTATTTTTTTGAGCAGTGTATATACATGAATGTATACATGCAGGTGTGTAGGCATGTTTTATCTCATTTTATTCTTTTACTCTTTATTCTTTTTGTTTCTTTTAATGTGTATTTGCACTGCTGTGGGAGTGGCTATAATCTCGTTACGCACGGTTGTAATGACAATAAAGGTATTCTATTCTATTCTATTCTATTCTATTCT